ATTATTACAAAGTTCAATGCAGTTGTAGCTAACAAAGTCATTCCAATTCCTAAAGAAAATTACAACAAAAAAAGTATATTTTTCTTTTAAAAAGAAAAGCAATGTTCTTCTCAGGCACATGCACCAATGTACCGACCATATCACTAAAACATTTGTTCACAAGTAAGAAACATATGCATACATAAGTGACTTCATGGAATGAGAGGAAATATACTGCATCGCGATGCCCACATTCCCCATTCCTCAGCATGCCAGCTTCCAGGAAGATGTCTGGTCTGCCTGCTTGGCTACGGGTTGTTAGTGGCTGTTACTGTTGTTTCTTAATCTCAACCTGAAGTAGATAGGGTGACTTGGAATGGCTACATCTCTTAGCTTCCACAAATCTACTACTACCAGCAAAAGAACATGACATCCTCTAAACAAGACAAGAGGAAGGTTAGACTCAATGAGAATGCAGGAGATAAAAAGTCCTTGGGAACAGTGGGTGTTGGGCAAAAGGGGAGAAAGGTTCTCTAAATGAGGATCTTGTTGTGTTTCCACTGCTGTGGTCATCAGCAGACTTTGGTCAAATTTAAATTTCTTCTCAATATTGGACTAATGGGTCATTTAAGGCTGGCCTAGAAGTGGCCCCCTGACTTCACAAGCATCACATTGTGTTATTACCTATCAGTGGCATTCAATGAATAGAGGCAGCACAGATAGTCCCACAGGCCTACTACACTTTAACCACCCTAACCCGAAATCTTCACCTGCTGTGAGTCATGATCACAGTTAACCTTAATCCTCTGAAAATTCTCCCAAAGAACCCATGTAGTACAAGGTTTTCCTGAACTCAGTGCTTGTAGGATGTAAACTTGTTTACCAATGCTTTTCTTAGTATGTCCTGAATAATATGTTTATCTTTCTCTGAAGATTCAAAAAGTTTAAAAGTTAAATGTAGACAAACCAGTAAGAAACATCTTCAAAAGTCTCTATGGAATAGTCTTTTCTATATTTTAGTGTACACTTCTGTTTTATAAATGTGATATTTTTAGTGATATTGGTTAAATAGAATTCTTCCTATAGTGGGTGAATGGGCCAGAGCTGTACCACTTAGAACCTATATAGTACCTAATAAGGACCTGGATAAACTAAATCTATCATTTGCAAATTAGAAAACATGTTTTCTCTCTCCAATTTCACAGGTCTACAACATAAAACAGATTACAAATGCAAACCACCCCTGGAGCCTCCTTAGACACAGAAGTCAAGTACAAAGGGAATCAACAGACCTAAAATTTTCACAGGAGATTTAGTAACATAGGCTTAATAAGACCAAGTCAGATGGCTGTTGAACGCCACCCAGGAACTGACAACCGCTCTAAATGAAACCAGTGACTCGCAAAAGTATGATCCAGAGAGGATTTCCCCATCACCCAGATGGTGAGGTGAAGGTCAAGTGCCTGTCAATCTCCTCAAATAAAGCAGAAGGTGAGGTGAAGTGCTACCACAAGTGAGAAGCCAGAAGTCTGGCAATCCTATTTCCAAAGGCCAGAGAATGCTTCTAGGCATAGATATGCTGTTGCTCTCAATCCAGGTGACATCAAATGGGCCTTTGTTCTATATGAATTCGTCACACGTGAGACTTTCCATGGGAGGTAATACATTGCCCAACTTCGTCCAGCTCTGCAAGCGTTGCAGCGTGGGTTCCATTTGTTGCAACACCCACTGCCACGGAAGAACCCTGCACACCCCACACCACCTTGCTTGACACCAGATCACATGGTGTAAGTACGAAGATTCAAATGAGAATTTCATTATAGATGTTTTCCACTATCCAAGTGTGAGGACGCATTGGAAAGTGTGCCACTTACTGTTCCCCGGAGCGGAGGGGGAAGAGGAGCCAAAACAAGTTATCGTTACCGTCACGTTGTTACTCTGGGCCTGACAACAGTTCTAAGCTTAATATTCTTAAAGAACTGAGTGGTTTAGTATTTAAATTGCTTCCTAAACAGATGTTGAATAAATTCAACTTCTCTAAAATTCTCGTAGAGTCGTCACCTTTCTTGTGAGTCAAACCACATTTTTTTGCTTCCAAAATGGTCACCTAATTAAATTTAGAGTGGAGAAATATAACTTGACAATACATTTTTTTTCATAATGTGAAGATTTAAGAGATTCAGGGACCTGAAGGCATGAGTCGGGGTACAGGGCACCTACCTAGCAAGCATGAGGCCCTGAATTTTATTCTCAATAGGATTACTAAAAGAAAAAAAAATTGGATTCAAGATACAGCTCAAGTCACAAAGTGCCATTCACTAGCAAGTAAGCGGGGAGGATAGGGGGGGTGTAGTTGTGTAGTTAAGACCTTGAGTTCAAGTCCCAGTATCTGCACATACACACAAAAAAAATTGTGTAAAATTACCTGTTTCAAAGAATCACAACTAGAAGAAATATTTTAGATATTTCTTACTCATTGTAGCACTACACTGAAGTGAACTCTTCCATTAAATTCCCTTAAAAGTTACTCCACAGAGGTTTAACAAAAATAAATGAAATTTTTTGCCATGCATTTTGTGTTTTACTTCATGGGCTCTGTTTCACCCTTGGTGCTTTCTTCCTGTCACTGCTACCTGCTCCCTGTGCCCCTCTTTGCAGTGGAATTCTGAGACCTGCATAGCAGTTCAATCAAACCAGTTTTAATGTTGCCTGGTTCAAGAACTCAGGGCAGTCAGCGCCCAGGATCCTCCTGGAGACAGACACTCGGTCACAGGCAGGCACGCAGGAAGTTCATCCTTTTTCCCTCCCATCATGTGGAAAGCCAACACTGGAGTCTTTCCCAGGGCACTCTAAATAAAACTTGAACCCAGCATTCAAAACTGTGTACTAGCTTGCCCTAAGCCCCTTGTCCTGCCTTTTCTCCCTGTAAACCTCGGCTCCAGCAGTTGGAGGCTCACCCTTTCAAGAATATGCCCTGCCGGGCGCCGGTGGCTCCCACCTGTAATCCTAGCTACTCAGGAGGCTGAGATCTGAGGATCATGGTTCAAAGCCAGCCCAGGCAGGAAAGTCCGTTGAGACTCTTGTCTCCAATAAACCACTAGGAAACCGGAAGTGGCGCTGTGGCTCAAGAGGTACAGTGCTCACCTTGAGCTGAAGAGATGAGGGACAGTGCCCAGGCCCAGAGTTCAAGCCCCACGACGGACAAGAAAGAAAGAAAAAGAAAGAAAGAAAAGAAAGAAAGAAAGAAAGAAAGAAAGAAAGAAAGAAAGAAAGAAAGAAAGAAAGAAAGAAAGAAAGAAAGAAAGAAAGAAAGAAAGAAAGAAAGGAAGGAAAGAAGGGAAGGAAGGAAGGAAGGAAGCCCCTAGCTGGCTCAGGTGGCTCACACCTTTATTCCTAGCTACTCAGGATGCTGAGAACTGAGGATCATGGTGTGAAGCCAGGCTGGGAAAAAAAGAGTCGTGAAACTCTTATCAACCACCAAATGGCCAGAAGTGGAGCTGTGGCCTAGGTGGTTAAGGGTTCAATCCTTGGGCAAAAAAGCTAAGAAACAGTGCCCAGGCCTTGAGTTCAAGCCCCAGTACTCATCAAAAGAAAGAAAAAGAAAGAAAGAGAGAGAGAGAATAAAAGAAAATGAGAGAATATGTCCCTGCACTTTTCCCTTCACATTCTTCCTTCCTTCAGGCTCCTGTTTCCTGGGATTCTAAAGCCCAGCCACTCTCATCTAGCCAACTCAAAGTCTAGATCAAAAGTCACCTTTCCCCTGAAATCTTAACTATTACAACAGCACCTTGTATAATATATATATACACATACAAGTGTATATACACATATATCTTACACCATAAATTATGCATGCTTATAGACTTTTTTTCCCTGCACCTTTATAACTTGCGGCTACCTTCCCCACTCCACACCCAACGCACAAGACGGTCACTTGAAAATATTTGCTGGACAAATGAACACATTTTGGAGATTGAAAATAGGCTCTACAGAATAAGTTATCACAAAGACTGTTAAGTCCTTGGAAATTTTTTTTTAAAAAAAAAGCATTTTAACATTGCTTTAAGAACAGTTCTGCTTAACGCAGAAAAAATCAGAGGAGCTTGTAAAGATGATTCTGCGAATTAGTTCAACTCTGTAAAAGTACCTCCTCCTAATGCAAAGGTGAACCATACACGGAAAGAGAGCAGCGTGTGTTACCGAACATAAAAGACATACAAGACATAAAAAAACAGATCTGACCGCAGATCTTTAAAACAATCGGATCTGTTCTTAGGGCAATACTTTCAGTTACATGTATGGTCTTATTTCACACTGGAAAGAAAGAGCAGAGAGAAACCGCGGCCTGCTCAGAGCAGTCCCAGGACAAGACGAGTCGGCGGCAGCCACCAGTTCGCTCGCCGGGGGGCCATGGATGTGACTTCTTCTTCAGCTGCCTACCTACAATCGCAGGTCACCAGGAGCTGGCATCAAGGGGCCTGGCCAGCCTTCGCCCGCTCCTTCCCTCCACCTAAGCCGGCTGAGTGGGTTCAGGATCGGCTAAGGCACCTTCTCGGTTCAACCGAGGCCCTGAACCTGAACGGAGACCTACCTGCAGGTATCTCCGGAGCCACAGACACTCCGGAAAACCCATGCAAAACCCCGCTGTGACTCCACACCTCCCGCCCTTCCGCAGACCAGCTCCATCCCAGCTTTTCCAACCATGACCTCCAGCGGGGTGAGGGTAAAAGATGCCAGGTAAAGTTTCCCTGGCGCCAGGAAGTGAGGGAAAGCAACTCCAAGCCGGGCTTGTGACGGGACCGGTAAAAATCTGGGAGTTCGTTATCCCGGGGGACCCCCCCCCCAACCCGATCCCCCGCGCGCGCGGGCCCGGGACGGAGCGGTGGGAAGGAGCCGCGCGTCCGGTTACCTGCGCGGCGGGCGGGGGCCGGGGCCGCAGGTGGGCGCGGGAGCCCCCCGGCCCTGGCGGGGTGCACGGGGTAAAGGGGGGACCGGGGCGGGGGTCCCCGGCCACTACTCACCGTGCAGCGAGAGCAGCAGCAGGGGGCCCAGAGGGCAACCCCGAGAAGTCATCCCGGGGCCGCAGGGAGCGCGCCCGCCGCCGCCCGCCGGGCTTCGGGTCACCGCCGCGGGGACGCAGCCGGGGGCCAGGCGCTGTCCCGGACAGCAGGGTCCGGCCGGACCCGCCGGCCGAGCGCGGACCTCGGGACGCGCGGGAGCGCCACGGGCTGTGCCGCCGCCGCCGCACCGCCGCCGGCCGCCCCGAGCCGCGCCTCGGCCGCCCTGCGCCTCCGCGCAGCCCAACTCCCCCTCCCCGACCCCAACTCCGGGTCCGCTCAGCTCCGGCCGCGACGGGGCGCCGCGCCGCCGGGCTCCGCGCCGCACCGCCCCGCTCCGCGCCGCGCCGCCCACTCGCGCGCCCCGTCTCCCGGGCAACCGCGGCGGCTCCCGGGCGCCTCCTGGCGGCCGCCTGCGGAGCACAGCGCGCGGCGGGTGCTGCCTGCCGCCACCTGGATGCCCCTCTCCCCACTCCCAAGCTCTGTCTGTCTGTGTCTGTGTGTCCTGTGGTGTCTGTCGGTACTGGGACTTGAACTCAGGGACCGTGTGCTGTCCCTGAGCTTCTTTGGCTCATGGGTAGAACTCTACCGCTTGAGCCACAGTTCCACTTGCAGCTTTTTCTGAGTCGTCCATTGGAGATAAGAGGCTCAGAGACTTTCTTGTCCAGGCTGGCTTCAAATCATGATCCTCAGATCTCAGCCTCCTGTGTAGCTAGGGATGACAGGTGTGAACTACTAGTGTCCAGCTAGAATTTCTTTTTTGAACCAGTTACTGTTCTATTTCCAAGTTAAAAAAAAAAACACCAAAGGAATATGTCAGTAACTTTTAACAAGAATACCCTAAAGAGATCTATTTGGATTATGAATTAGGGATGCCTCAACTTTGCTCACTACTTCCCAATCATCTTTCATATTAATAACTGAAGTTTAAGTTTTCAATAACAAAGTCATCTCTAGACATACTTTGTTTTCTTTACCCAGTCCTTACCCTGTCCTGCATATCTTCCTTCAGTTTAACCTAGTTCCAATTAGGGAATATAAATATAAAGAGAAAAACAAGGAAGCTGTACAGTAAACTGAGTAAGTACTACTCAGAACATTCTGTTTACTTCATTATAATCCTATGTTTATAGTAGAGATACACTGTTTTTCAGTTAAATACATAACCTAGTAATCCAGGCTTTAAAACCCAGGAAAAGCAAGTTATACCAATATAGATATGACATCAATTCAGCAGATATTTACTAAGTACCCACATTGTGTTCAGGCACCCACTGGGTTGGTGATTTAAAAATGTGAGATAGAAAATCTACCCAAGTTCCGGTTGTACCAAGGGTATATCTATGCTCTGATGAATCAGAAGAGGAGCATTCTGCTTCCTCCCCTTCTGGCTTGCCCTGTCAGAGCTGATGATTTGTGATGGGGACAACATGGGTTCTGAAAGGAGACAGAGATGATCCTTTTTCAGAAGGTGGTCTGGCATGGGGGCAGAAGGTACATGGTGGGCCCAAGGGATCAGGTCCATGAGTACTGAAAGCTCCAAGGGTTGGATATGGAGCTTTCTAAACACCCTCTCACAGGGAGCGGAGGGAACGTGTCAACATGGAGATTGAGCAGCACCAACTGTTACTCTGAATAAATCGTTTATCGTTAATGATGAATTTCACCCATCCTTTGGTCTTAATCTGCCTTATGATAAGAGTAGGATTTCCTTAAGTCCCTTAAGCATTCGGGGTACAAAACATCACACATAACTGGGCACTGAATCCTACCTACTCAGAGGGCTGAGATCTGAGGATCACAGTTTGAAGCCAGCAAGAGCAGAAAGATCCCTAAGACTCCTATCTCCAATTAACCACCAGAAAAGTGGAAGTAGAGCTGTGGCTCAAAGTGGTAGAGCGCTAACCTCAAGTGAAAAAATTCAGGGATAGCACCCAGGCCCTGAGTTCAAGCTCCATAACCAGCAAAAAACAACACAGACATAGACACACACACACACACACACACACACACACACACACATCATACATTCACATAAGGCTTCATAAATGTCAAACTGCTTTCACATATATTATTTGATTAGATCTTCACAGCAATCCCAGAGGATAACAAGGCATCTGTTACAAACCCCGGCTCCATAGAAGGATAAAAGACATTAACATAAAAGCATTAAAGGCAATTAACAATGGCTACACCTAGAACCAAAGTCTTCTAACATTCACCCTATAGTTAAAGTTCAAAATTTGAAAACATCACAAAATCTTAGATATCTATGGGAACAATGAAGTAAGTCACGTATTCAACATTTTATTCCAGCTCACCCAACTGCCATCCTCACCGCCATTCATCCTCCACATTAATAATAGTAAAAAATCTGGGTGACATTTACCCCACTCTCACCTCTACAGTAGCTGGAACTGCCTTACTTAACAAGGAAAAACATGGAGAAGAAAAAAAAAAGGAGCAACGAACCCTCGTAATACTCTGCCACAGTTATCATAGTCATCTGGGCTCAAAAATATGGATGAAATGAGAATAGAGTGAACTTGTAAATATTTAAATTTGGATTGTCCAAATTGAAGGTTTAATCCTAGACAAGCTTCTTTTCTCAATCAAAATGCTGAACCACCTCTTTCCATGATCAGTTCATTTGTATTCAAGAAGAGAAAGTTAATTTTATTGGTAGCTTAGCAAAAACATCATTAAGAAAAAATGATGGAATTAGAAGGCTTTCCAAAGCTAAATGTGAATTATGTTGGAATTAGCTATTTTTAATTATTAATGAGGCAGGATAGATTAAGGGAAATGAGGCAGGGAAATCTTGAGCCAGGAACTAAGCACAAATACTGTATTACTAAATATCATGATTAGGAACACACATGCCTTCTCCTTTACTCACCCCTACCCACTGAGTTGTAACATATAGTAGAAAAATAACACCACTGACATTGCCCAAATGACTAATACACTCTGAGGAGTAACCATACATGTGTTAAAGAAAACACCTCAGGGGGGGAAAAAAAACCATCTGGCTCAACCGCTCCTATGATCAGGAAAATTCATTATTACTGTATTTAATCGTACAAATAGTTATATTGTGCCTTTTCCATGCATGTGTATAATGTACTCAGGTTAAATTTGCTCCATCTATAACTTTTCCTTATCCTTTCCTCCTTTATTTTTTAATAATTCTGATGGATTTAATTGTTCTGTTTTCATATATGTATGTAACGTAACTATGGCATATTCACTCACCCTTTCCCTGAGGAGAAAAACAAATCCTTATAAAAAGAAACAAAAGGTAGACATGTGTGTTGCTGCAACCCAGCTAGGAAAGTCTTTGGTCTCAGGACCAAAATGGCAATGTCAGAACATGATGGCAACAAAAATGGTTGAAATGTACATACTCAGAATCTCAGAACAAAGAAACACTTGCCTAAAGGAATGTTTAAACAAAACCTACTGCCCTACTTTATTTAGCATGTATACCCCAGATGTTAAAAACAATTCATTGGATCTCTTTAATACCCCCACACTTCTGTCGAGGAAGTGTATCTCTGTTTCTCTATTTGCTTACTGATTAAAACTCTGTTCATTTCTTGCCTTACCTTGTCCCTCAGCCTGGAATTCTTTTCCATATCAGAGACAAGGACCTACACAGGCCAGGCAGAGGGCTTCTGCAAGGACCTCCAGATCCTCCCAGCTCCTGGTGACATTAAGGCCTCAGATTCCGCTCCACTCACAGATATAAACTAAAGGTTGATCATGTTTAAACTGTGGGGGTATATTTATGGAGGGTTTTTATTTAAAGCAATAATTTTAAAGGTAGAAAAAGACCTATTTGAAAGCAAATTAGGAACTGATAGTGGTTGCAGAGGACCTGTTGGGGATGATGATAAATTCTTAATGTTGGGTTGAGGCGAGGATTGCTCAGCTCTTTACTAAACGTCATTGGGTTGTAGGATTAAAATGGGAGAATTGAATGACATGTAAAGTAGCCCCTAACAAGACACTGTAAAGACTGTAAAGTGAAGAGATATTTCCAGTAGCTCTTCCCTGTCCCTGACATGGTAGTTACCAGTCACATGCAGCTAATCTAAGTTGAGATACACTTTGATTGTGATGTACTTATTCAATTTTGGAGATTTACCTGCATGGAAGAGAGATTATAAAGCATCTAATAAATAACTTGATAGGCTGGATGCCAGTGGCTCATGCCTGTAATCCTAGTTGCTCAGGAAGCTGAGATCTCAGGATTATGGTTCAAAGCCAACCTAGACAGGAAAGTCTCTGAGACTCTTACCTTCAATTACCCAGCATCAAAAAAAAAAAAAAATTAAAAGCCAGAAGTGGAGCTGTAGGTCAACTGGTAGAGAGCTAGCCTTGAGCAAAAAATGCTAAAGAGCCCAGACCCTGAGTTCAAGCCCCAGGACCAGAACACACACACACACACACACACACACACACACACACACACACCAATTAAATAACTTCACCTAGTTAAGTAAAGATAATATATATGTAAAAAGATAATATTTTCATATATGAACACATTAGATAAAATGTTACCAACTGTAAAAAATAAAAAGTAAATAATAAAATAAATAATAAATACCTGTTTGACCCAGCTACTCATTTTGTAATTATTTTAGCTCACTGACAAGTGCCAGATATTGTCTAGGGTAGAGCTGAATCCTTTTAAAAGTAAAGTGAGAGAGGAAATCCCTCTCCTTCTTGTATAATACCAATAGCGTGGCGGAGAAGAAAATAGCAGAATTCTACAAGTAAGGCAGCAATCAATGCAACAAATGTGTATTGTATGCTGACATACCAGACCATTTATTATTTAACATTCTTTTCAATTTTTAGAATATCTTATAGCTTCATTATATTGATAGTTTCATCTCCCTTATATCTGTCTCTTACTACTCCTTTGGCAAGTCTTGCTACCTAGAATTTACACAAAGGCAAACAGCCATCTCCATTTCCTCTTACATCCCAATTTCTAACAGTGCTGTGAATATTATTGAAGGAAAAGTTTCACAACA